TAAAATATACCTATGCTATACAATATAGTCCTAAATCCTAAATTAATCCTAAATCCATATATAGAGGATATGAAGAGGGCACGTTGGATCACGTCAGACATATTGCAAGTTGCAAGGCTTCCACAACAATACCCAGAAGTTAATTGCTAAGATGAGTTACGTCCTCGTGTGAGTCAACGCTTCCCAGCTAATGTGAGATAAGTTGCGGCCTTGTATCATAATTAGTTGAAGGGGAGGAGGGGGGACAAATTACAGCGGCAGCGGTGTTGTGGTGATGTTGGTGGTGGGTGATGTTGGTGGTGAGGTGATGTTGGTGGTGAAGTGATGTTGGTGGTGAAGTGATGTTGGTGGTGAAGTGATGTTGGTGGTGAAGTGATGTTGGTGGTGAAGTGATGTTGGTGGTGAAGTGATGGTGGTGGTGAAGTGATGGTGGTGGTGAAGTGATGGTGGTGGTGAAGTGATGTTGGTGGTGAAGTGATGTTGGTGGTGAAGTGATGTTGGTGGTGAAGTGATGGTGGTGGTGAAGTGATGTTGGTGGTGAAGTGATGTTGGTGGTGAAGTGATGTTGGTGGTGAGGTGATGTTGGTGGTGAGTGATGTTGGTGGTGGGTGATGTTGGTGGTGAGGTGATGTTGGTGGTGAGTGATGTTGGTGGTGAGTGATGTTGGTGGTGAAGTGATGTTGGTGGTGAGTGATGTTGGTGGTGAGGTGATGTTGGTGGTGAGGTGATGTTGGTGGTGAGTGATGTTGGTGGTGGGTGATGTTGGTGGTGGGTGATGTTGGTGGTGGGTGATGTTGGTGGTGAGGTGATGTTGGTGGTGGAGTGATGTTGGTGGTGAGTGATGTTGGTGGTGAGTGATGTTGGTGGTGAGTGATGTTGGTGGTGGGTGATGTTGGTGGTGAAGTGATGTTGGTGGTGAAGTGATGTTGGTGGTGAAGTGATGTTGGTGGTGAAGTGATGTTGGTGGTGAAGTGATGTTGGTGGTGAAGTGATGTTGGTGGTGAAGTGATGTTGGTGGTGAAGTGATGGTGGTGGTGAAGTGATGGTGGTGGTGAAGTGATGGTGGTGGTGAAGTGATGTTGGTGGTGGAGTGATGTTGGTGGTGAAGTGATGTTGGTGGTGAAGTGATGGTGGTGGTGAAGTGATGTTGGTGGTGAAGTGATGTTGGTGGTGAAGTGATGTTGGTGGTGAGGTGATGTTGGTGGTGAGGTGATGTTGGTGGTGAGGTGATGTTGGTGGTGAGGTGATGTTGGTGGTGAGGTGATGTTGGTGGTGAGGTGATGTTGGTGGTGAGTGATGTTGGTGGTGAGGGATGTTGGTGGTGAGTGATGTTGATGGTGGTGGTTTTGTTATAGGTGATGTTTCTATTGATATTGGTGGTAATGGTGGTGGTTCTACTGATATTAGTGGTAGTTCTACTGATACTGGTGATGTTGGCTGTGGTCGAGTTAGTGGTGGTGATCGTGTCCATGTTAATGCTTGAAGTGATTATGTTAAGAGGAAGTTTGGTTGCAGGTGACTAATTTATTGCAAGACTAATTCAATTTACTTTGCACTAGTACATACGACCCAACACCCGGTATAATTCACTGGCAGGTAATTGAGGACTCGTGTCCTAATGTGTCCTGACTTATCTAGGGGTGGACGCCCTCCTGCAGCTGAGGACAGTGGCTGTCTCAGGTCTGGTGGCACACCGCTATATGGCGACTGGTCGTGGGGGTCGATTTTGACAGCTGTGTGGCCGCTATACGGAGTGACGGGAATAAGGGGGTGGACGTAGGTGTTGGGGACGGTGGCAACAGTGATTGTGGTGGAAGCAGCAGTGGTAATGCTGGTAGTAGTGGCTATAGTGATGGTGGTAGCTATAGTGGTTATATAGTGATGGTGGTAGCTATAGTGGTTATATAGTGATGGTGGTAGTTATAGTGGTCATGGTAGTGGTTGTAGTCCTGGAGTTTGTCACCTCACGATAGTTGAAACATGGTGGTGGTGGGGAGATGTGATCATCATCTTCCAGGATAGAGATATAGTTCAGCCCAGACTCCCAAGCATCCAAGCACCAACTACCGGTGATGTCAGTAGTTATATCTCCTGGCCTAACCAAAACAGCAAACTGGGTGCCCTGTCAACCCCCCCACCCCATCCCATCCCCCCTCTCCACCACACTACTGCAGTTGCGACTATTTTCATATGTGTACCATAACATAAACTAGTAATACTATCACTATACCGCCTAAGAACAGTAGAGTAGTAAAGTAAAATAGAATAGTAGAGTAAAATAGTAAGAGTAGTAATTTTACGTGATACGGAAATTCCACAAGGGGAAGAAACATGTGGAAAATATTACTTTGTGGTGCATGAAGCAATTTTCCTTGCAAGTTATAGCTCGTAATTTATATCTGGAATTAATTACATATTTCCTGAGAAAATTACATGCACGAGGGACGATTTGTGTGGCAATAGAAAGAAGGATTTTCACAGGTTTTGACCAAGAAAAATGGTAATGCCAATGAGTTTGATTATATCTAGTAATATTATTACTAGTATTTACCAGTAATTAATATTATTGCTTTATTTTCATTTTAGTATTTTAACTATTTTAATAATAAATAATATTACTACTAGTATTTGCAATATTATAAATAACTAGTAAGATAAAAAAATAATGAAATTAATATGTAAATTGATAGTTATAATTGAAAATAGTAGTTATGGAAATCAGAATTATAGTTGTACATAAGAAAAAATAAAACATGAATAATATAATTCTATAATCTAAATAATTAATCCTAAAATAATAATCTAAATAATTAATCCTAAAATAATAATCTAAATAATAATTATTAAATAATAAATAATCTAATTAATAATAATCATAAAATCTGAATAATAATTAGTAAAAATCTATAATCTAAATCATTATTATTATTTAGAATATAGATTATTTAATAATTATCACATGAGAAATCTAGAATAAGAAGGATAGCTATATATAACAAGAAATATAAATATGAATAACAAAAGTCTTCAACAAACTCTCTCACACACACACACACACACACACACACACACACAGGTTGCGAGTAACCAAACACAGGCTCTAAGGTAAAGTTTTACCCCTGTGTTGCCTCTTAGGGCGGCACCCACCCCCTTATATCCCCTTACCCACTGGTGACACCGCGAGGAATCGAACCGCGAGTTTCCCCCAAGACAGTGACCCCGCGAACAACTTCACCCCAAACTCGCCTTCCCCATTAAAGACAGATCAAACTCATTCTCTGAGGCGATACTTGGGAATTGTTTTCCATCCATTCTTGTTCTCTTAATGTCGCTGACGCTCTGCCTCTGCTTCAAAGTTTCTATTGCATTTGGTTGACAGACAGGTTCACGAAGCATTAGGTTTACAGGTTAAGGGGTTCACAGGTTCACGAAGTATTAGGTTTACAGGTTAAGGGGTTCACAGGTTCACGAAGTATTAGGTTTACAGGTTAAGGGGTTCACAGGTTCACGAAGTATTAGGTTTACAGGTTAAGGGGTTCACAGGTTCACGAAGTATTAGGTTTACAGGTTAAAGGGTTCACAGGTTCACGAAGTATTAGGTTTACAGGTTAAGGGGTTCACAGGTTCACGAAGTATTAGGTTTACAGGTTCACGAATAATCAGGTTCACAGGTTACCTAGTGCCTAGATTACCAAGTTTCACAGGTCCCCAGAAATTCCTTCACAACAATTAAGAACAGCTTCCTCTACGCCTCGGGCCAGAACCCCTCGGGCCCCAGAGCCCCAAGGGCCAGAACCCCAAGGGCCAGAGCCCCTGGCCCACAAGAATGTCCTCATCGACAGCTACTCGATAGTCGACCAGCACTCAAAACACTCTTACTTCAAGTGGGAAAAAAAGAGCGCGAATTCTACCAATGTTTTCTGTTTTCTTCCACTGTTTTTTTTCCTCGCTGTTAAAGCTAATGTTAGAGGTCGTGAGGAAATAATTGCTCCGTTTACAAGAGAGTAACGGGGAATTGAGTACTTGTAGGCCTCACCACTATTCAATACATATAACGCAATCGATGGCTGTGTGGGTATATTAATGGGCTGATGCTCTGGCTACCCAAGTTCGAATGCTTGAGAGATTAATTGGAGTTGTGTTATCTATAAATATATATAAATTAAATATACTTTATATATTTATAAGTATATATATAAGTTGGTACCAGTCTTTCTTTTAGGCATAATATAACAGTGGGTGAGATCAATTAATGATTTTAGGACGAATCTTCACTATTTTAATTACCGAAAACTAATTAATTACGGTAGTAATTATCAATTACCGTAGATATAATAGCTCATTCATGCTACATCACCTCAAGAGCGAGCACAGAGAGAGAGAGAGAGAGAGAGAGAGAGAGAGAGAGAGAGAGAGAGAGAGAGAGAGAGAGAGAGAGAGAGAGAGAGAGAGAGAGAGAGAGAGAGAGAGAGAGAGAGAGAGAGAGAGAGAGAGAGAGAGAGAGAGAGAGAGAGAGAGAGAGAGAGAGAGAGAGAGAGGAGAGAGAGGAGAGAGAGAGAGAGGAGAGAGGAGAGAGAGAGAGAGAGAGAGAGAGAGAGAGAGAGAGAGAGAGAGAGAGAGAGAGAGAGAGAGAGAGAGAGAAGAGAGAGAGAGAGAGAGAGAGAGAGAGAGAGAGAGAGAGAGAGAGAGAGAGAGAGAGAGAGAGATAGAGAGAGAGAGAGAGAGGCCGGCAGATCACTGTTAGTCTCAGAGCGCAGACACTGCACATAACAGTGCCTTTGTATCCTATGTAACCAGGCATCAAAGGCATCTCCACCATGACAGATAATTGCAATCATTACCCAAAGGATATTTTTTTTAAATGGTACATTGTCGACGCGGCTTTGATCGAAGACGCCGCGTTGTTCACCTCTGATAACCGGACGTCTAAATATTATTTATGAATAATTCTGTATAATTTTTGTCTCTCCGCACAAACACACACATGAAGCTGTACAAACTCACAAGCCGCCATAAACAAGCTTTGGCTCGTGTCGGCAATTATATTCAAGCTTTGACTTGTGTCGGCAATTATATTCAAGCTTTGATTCGTGTCGGCAATTATATTCAGGCTTTGACTTGTGTCGGCAATTATATTCAAGCTTTGATTCGTGTCGGCAATTATATTCAAGCTTTGATTCGTGTCGGCAATTATATTCAAGCTTTGATTCGTGTCGGCAATTATATTCAGGCTTTGATTCGTGTCGGCAATTATATTCAGGCTTTGATTCGTGTCGGCAATTATATTCAGGCTTTGACTTGTGTCGGCAATTATATTCAAGCTTTGACTCGTACAAACTTTCACAATCACTGACTCTAGATAAAACAAAGAGATATATAATCTGTTTCCTCCATTTATATGTATTAAACACCACAAACAGGTAAAGATATTGATAACAATAATTTGCTACCTAAAGTGAGGGTCGAACCAACCGCAAAGTGATAAGAGCATTATCGGAAAAACAAGATTACTTTTGCCATATAAAATCAGTTAGATAAATAGACTTGCATGTAGTTAGATAAATATATTGAATATATTGGATCATACACTGTGTGTGTGTGGGGCTGCAAGGGGAGTTTGGTCTGCTTCTTGATTCTATTTGGATATCTCCTTCGTGTTACCATTTAAGTTTACTCACAGAAATTGCCAAGTGAATTGCATCTCTAATGAATAAAATTGTTCATTTAAACAGTAAGCTATTTCGTTTAATCGTTGTTTTAGGATATCACTGATATCTTATCGCTCGTTCCTTCCCCTCTCGCTATTAATCAGACACAAACTGCTTGTTTGCAAGCGAGGAGTCACAATAACGTGGCTGAATTATGTTGACTAAACCACACACTAGAAGGTGAAGGGACGACGACGATAATGGTCCAGGATGGACCGAAACAAGTCGATTGTTGACCAGACCACACACTAGAAATTGAAGGAACGACGACGTTTCGGTCCTGGTCCAGGACGGGCCGAAACGTCGTCGTTCCTTCAATTTCTAGTGTGTGGTCTGGTCAACATACTTCAGCCACGTTATTGTGACTCATCGCCTGCAAGTCGATTGTCTACAATCGACTCCAGTCGATCAAGACAATCGACTTGAGAATGGTCCAGGACGGACCGAAACGTCGCCGTCCTTTCACCTTCTAGTGTGTGGTCTAGTCAACTGCCTGTTTGACTCTGAAATTTCTCTCTTGTGTCAACTTTGTTTCTCTCTTCATTTATCATGGAGTGTGTCTGAGTGAACCCACAGGAGGCGTCCTGGTGGGCGAGACAGAGGAAGGAGGAGGAGGAGGAGGAGGAGGAGGAGAGAGAGACCATTAACAATGGTGTGTGGAATAACAGCACTGAATCAAGTCGATTGGCCAGACAATAGCCGGGAAGACGGGTATTAGACACGTGCATGCAGATATCGATGAGGGATTTAGCACAGGATTAAAGAGCAATCTAGATCTGAAATTGTGCGCGTTCAGAACGCACTGATTTATGAGAGTAATTAGACAGAGTATGTATATACTTGTTACAGTTGAAACTGGGTGACAAATGGGAACAAATGATTGCATTAAAATGTCTAATATAATGCGTTCTTGAAGTAATAGATATCAGCATCTTTAACTGATGCCGAATACTCGTTTTATCTAGTAGTCTAAAGCTGGCACTTGTAACAGCACAGCTAACTACAGTGGCTGGTGCCTCACGTCTGATCAAAAGGTCAACCAAGGGTTTAAATATGTTCTTATGCCCCTTATATATGACATAATATATACTAGTTTTTCTTTAACTTATTCTAAGGTACTTCAAATTACGTAAAACTGAAAAAAGTGAATTATATCACTAGGAAGGCAATCTGTTCTAGAGTCTCTCTTATCGGAAGTGAATATGTTTAAAAAATAACTTGTAATTGCCTATAATTTTCTTTCACCTCGTGTAAAATAATTATCTGGAAGAATTGTCTTATTAAACAAATATTTTCTAATCGTGTAAATTATAGTTTCATTTACAGCCGTTTCGGACCAGGGTCGACTAAGGTGGTGGTCATCGAGAATGACACAGCCAGTCCGTCCTCCCAAGGTTCCCCAGCGTCAATAAATTGTCGTACTAAAGTGCCCCCTTATCCTAACCTACCAGAGGAGCCAAAATAGAAAACGAGACAGTACGTCAATTCCGCGAGCCGCTATCATTTTCTAGTACGACGATTTTTGGCCTTAGGAAGAGTAATACGTCAAAATGCGACGTTTGATTGGAGGGCCGGGTTGATCAACAGTCCACGTGCAGCCTGGATATTGATCCTGGAAATCCTGGGGTATTGATCCTGGATATCCTGGGGTATTGATTCTGGATATCCCGGGTATTGATCCTGGATATCCCGGGTATTGATCCAGGATATCCTGGGGTACTGATCCTGGATATCCTGGGGTACTGATCCTGGATATCCTGGGGTACTGATCCTGGATATCCTGGGGTACTCATCCTGGGTATTGATCCTGGATATCCTGGGGTACTGATCATGGATATCCTGGGTATTGATCCTGGATATCCTGGGGTACCGATCCTGGGTATCCTGGGTATTGATCCTGGATATCCTGTGGTACTGATCCTGGATATCCTGGGGTACTGATCCTGGATATCCTGGGGTACTGATCCTGGATATCCTGGGGTACTGATCCTGGATATCCTGGGGTACTGATCCTGGATATCCTGGAGTACTGATCCTGGATATCCTGGGGTACTGATCCTGGATATCCTGGGGTACTGATCCTGGGTATTGATCCTGGATTTCCTGGGGTACTGATCCTGGGTATTGATCCTGGATATCCTGGGGTACTGATCCTGGGGTACTGATCCTGGATATCCTGGGGTACTGATCCTGGATATCCTGGGGTACTGATCCTGGATATCCTGGGGTTCTGATCCTGGATATCCTGGGGTTCTGATCCTGGTTATCCTGGGGTCTGATCCTGGTTATCCTGGGTATTGATCCTGGATATTCTGGGGTACTGATCCTGGATATTCTGGGGTACTGATCCTGGATATTCTGGGGTACTGATCCTGGATATCCTAGGGTGCTGATCCTGGATATCCTGGGGAGCTGATCCTGGATATCCTAGGGTGCTGATCCTGGATATCCTGGGGAGCTGATCCTGGATATCCTGGGGTGCTGATCCTGGATATCCTGGTGTGCTGATCCTGGATATCCTGGGGTGCTGATTCTGGATATCCTGGGGTGCTGATCCTGTATATCCTGGGGTGCTGATCCTGGATATCCTGGGGTGCCGATCCTGGATATCCTGGGGTACCGATCCTGGATATCCTGGGGTACCGATCCTGGATATCCTGGGGTACCGATCCTGCATATCCTGGGGTACTGATCCTGCATATCCTGGGGTACTGATCCTGCATATCCTAGGGTACTGATCCTGCATATCCTGGGTATTAACCCTGGATATCATGGGGTACTGAACCTGGATATCCTGGGGTACTGATCCTGGATATCCTGGGGTACTGATCCTGGATATCCTGGGGATACTGATCCTGGATATCCTGGGGTACTGATCATGGATATCCTGGGGATACTGATCCTGGATATCCTGGGGTACTGATCCTGGATATCCTGGGGGTACTGATCCTGGATATCCTGGGGGTACTGATCCTGGGTACCAATCCTGGATATCCTGGGGTACTGATCCTGCATATCCTGGGGTACTGATCCAGCATATCCTGGGGTACTGATCCTGCATATCCTGGGTATTGACCCTGGATATCTTGGGGTACTGATCCTGGATATCCTGGGGTACTGATCCTGGATATCCTGGGGATACTGATCCTGGATATCCTGGGGGTACTGATCCTGGATATCCTGGGGGTACTGATCCTGGATATCCTGGGGGTACTGATCCTGGATATGCTGGAGTATTGATCCTGGATATCAGAATCAGCCTCTTTAGCAAGGACTTCAACCATTAGAGTCAACGACTCGGGAATCAGAGCACCCAAATCACCTCTGATTGGCGGGAAAAACTGCGTGGTTCATGAGCCGAGTTACAATATGAAGTGCTGTAGTTGTGAAGAAATATAAGGCAGCCCAGCCATGAGTACAAGAAGCCGGCTCTATGGTAGCAAAAACTAGCTAATCTATGTTCTGAGGTTCGAGTCCCGGAGCTAAGTTGGCCAAGAAGGACGAGGCCATTTGTAGACAAACGTGAAACCTTGTGTGAGAATGTGTAGAGGGAAGTTTTTGCGATTTGTCTTAGAGAACTTGAATGAAAGTTGTGACAGTCAATGAAATAATGTGTGTAAACTTAGTATGGTATTTTTGTGGTGCCTGAATCAAACAGGGAAGGATGCAATACAATGAAGATTATATATAATATATATATATATATATATATATATATATATATATATATATATATATATATATATATATATATATATATATATATATATATATATATATATATATAAAAGATATACATTGGTTGATGCAAAAAGTGTTTAAAGGTTAAGGATCTATTGAAAAACACGACAATGGGAAACATTGATCAATGTCAGACATATATATATATATATATATATATATATATATATATTATATATATATATATATATATATATATATATATATATTATATATAATCTTCATTGTATTGCATCCTTCCCTGTTTGATTCTTTTGTGTTGTTCTTGTGCAGAGCCTCGTTCCCATTCTCCAAGTCTCTCCTATTCTCCCTGCTTCTTTCATCTACTAACACATTCTTCTTTTACCAGTTCTCTTATTAACTTATTTTCTTGGGAATATTTATTTTCCAAAGCTTTACTTTAACATAATATTGTTGTTTTGTCTCTGCTTCTCTCTCTCCTTCTCTTTATTACCTCTTATTTTTCGTGTTATTCATTTTCGTTCCCTAATTATTTCGGTATTTCTTTTTACTTTGCTTTAATATTATTAATGTTGCACAAAGAAATCTTATTAACGTGATGTATAATGGACCCTCACTAGATACTCGACTAGATACTAGATATAGATACTAGACACTAAATACTCACTAGACCCTCAGGAACACTAGAGGATTGAGATGAATCCCAACTTGCAATTCGTTTAGGCATGTCATGGTGTAGTGATCCTGGATATTGATCCTGGATATCCTGGGGTAATGATCCTGGATATCCTGGGTACTGATCCTGGATATCCTGGGGGTAATGATCCTGGATATCCTGGGGGTAATGATCCTGGATATCCTGGGGGTAATGATCCTGGATATCCTGGGGGTAATGATCCTGGATATCCTGGGGGCGGGTGCTTGGGAGTACTCAGAGCACAGGTTCGAGTCCTCCTCCTGGCTACTGCTACTTCTGTTCTACTCGCGAGAACGGGTTTGATTTTTCGATATCATTGCTACATGAATTATTTATTTTTGTCTTAACATTTATAGTACGCTTGAGAAGCAAAACTAAAAAAATTAAAAGCACAAGATAATTGCCAGAGCTAAGTGGACTAAGCTTCGAGGGGACATGATTGCAACATACAAAGTACCAAATGAAATTGAAAAAGTTGACAAGGACAGTCACTTTTAAGTGAGAGAAAGCAGAACGTGGCGACGTAAGTTTTAATCAAGAAACGCAAATGAGTAGAAGAAATGTAAGGAAATACTCGTACCGTATACGAGAGGCCCACACAACGAGGAATGTTGTAAAAGGTGGGGAAGCCATTTTTATCCACAACTTCAAGGGGCAAATTCGACAAAGAATTCGAACTTCAGCATAGTTAAAATAATCTGCAACAGGTAGTACATGGCTAATAGGTGATACATAAAGAGGTAGACCTCACTTAATTCCCCATTGTCACTGATAGACAATGTGGATAGGTAAACACACACACACACACACACACACACACACACACACACACACACACAATTGATTTGCATCTGAGAGGCGGGACCAAAGAGCCGAAGTTCAAACCCCACAAACACTATGAGCGAGTACAATTAGGAGATTAAGAACATGAATGTCAACTTTATAAGCCTGTGGACGAGTTTGGAGTCATGAAAGTCTATAACTTAAAGGAACCTCCAAGGTTTTAATATGCAAGGTGATCCTTAAAGGATCACCTTGCATATTAAAACACTGCTTGTCCTTGACCTTCTTTGATCGTGTGTGTGTGTGTGTGTGTATGTGTGTGTGTGTGTGTGTGTGTGTGTGTGTGTGTGTGTGTGTGTGTGTGTGTGTGTGTGTGTGTGTGTGTGTGTGTGTGTGTGTGTGTGTGTGTGTGTGTGTGTGTGTGTGTGTGTGTGTGTGTGTGTGTGTGTGTGTGTGTGTGTGTGTGTGTGTGTTTGCGTGTGTGTGTTTGCGTGTGTCACTCTCTTTAAAGTAGTCCAACTTACCCCTATGTTAGCAGCTTACGTAAAATGAATGTAACTGTGTTAATTTATATGTTTCTAAATCTAAGTAAATAAAGCAGAAATAATGTAGCAATTCCTCTACAATAAAGCACAAATCGTTACTGCAATACCCCACTGAATGTTCCCCTCAGACAAGACATATTTCACCAACACTTGACACACCCCACTGAATGTTCCCCTCAGACAAGACATATTTCACCAACACTTGACACACCCCACTGAATGTTCCCCTCAGACAAGACATTTTTCACCAACACTTGACACACCCCACTGAATGTTCCCCTCAGACAAGACATTTTTCACCAACACTTGACACTATCAGACACATGTTTAAAAAAAAAAACACTTACCAGACAAGACACATTACCAAAGACAACACGAACCATCCACAGCACATTTCAAGAACCATTTGTAATCTAACCTCAATGCAAAGACAATTCCTGCCTGATCTCTTGCGCCCTCAGACGACCCCCAGCACAAAGACATTCCAGCAGGTATCTCTCTGCTGAGCAAACACAATACACACGCATTCACAGGATCGTTTCGCCTCTGTCTAAATACAATCTAGGTCCAAAGGGTCCCGGGAGACATTGTGAGGATAAAATTATTTTTCAAGTGTCATTCTCCTTCTAAATATGGTATAAAAAGCCCACTAAACAATGATACTGCAATAGGGGAATTATATTGAGAACAGAAACACTATGGAGGCAAGCACACATTTTTATCTTTAAAAGAATTATTCACTACAAGAGCTACAATGCTCACTCGTGGAATAAAAGTATATGATTAATCTTAAAAAGGTCTCTGGTCTTAGCAGCATACTTAGGTTCGTTCTCGACTCATAATCTTGGGTTCGAATCCCGGGCGTGACTGAAATGATTGGGCGCATTTCCTATCACCTAATGTGTCTGTTCACCTAACAATAAATATGTACCCAGGAGTAATCTTCTTGTGAGGCTGCATCCTGGAGACCTCGAGGTAAGCCTAACATATATGTACATACTCTGGCTGCTTGTCCCCGACAGAAGGAATAAATTAAACTATTATACACGAAACCAGCAGTGGAAAGGCAACAGAGTTAACCTGCAATTCCAAAATACACCTGAATAAGCCACACTTTAGAAGCTGTCGACTGGCCATCACACGAACGTGTCTGGAGAAAAAACGTCTTGAGAGAAAACGTCTAGGAGAGAAAAACGTGTAGGAGAGAAAAACGTGTAGGAGAGAAAAACGTCTAGGAGAGAAAAACGTCTAGGAGAGAAAAACGTCTAGGAGAGAAAAACGTCTAGGAGAGAAAAACGTCTAGGAGAGAAAAACGTCTAGGAGAGAAAAACGTCTAGGAGAGAAAAACGTCTAGGAGAGAAAACGTCTAGGAGAGAAAAACGTCTAGGAGAGAAAAACGTCTAGGAGAGAAAAACGTCTAGGAGAGAAAAACGTCTAGGAGAAAAAACGTCTAGGAGAGAAAAACGTCTAGATAGGAAAAACGTCTAGATAGGAAAAACGTCTAGATAGGAAAAAACGTCTGGACACAATACAAAGACACATTCCAAAAACATCTGACATTCCTTCTGGTCACCACAACGACACGCTGCAGAAAGTCAATAGTTGACCGACACGCAAAAAAGGGCGTTTCATGGTGCAATATAAGAGTGGCTGGGGCCACCAGCCAGAGGCAGAGAAACAAACAGCTTGCGCCTCACAACACAACCTCCACTTTACCACACCTCCACTTCCTAGTGAAGGCCACACGGCAAACCAGGGACACCTTTTGAATCTATCCAAAATTCCTCCATGTCAAATCAAAATAATAATTCTCTCTCAGGTTCTATCAGATAAAATCTATACAAACCAAAATATTATAATTATGTGTCATCTACTGAAGTAGACAACTTTTACGAAATCACTATTTCAAGACCCACCAAAAAAAATGAACAAATAAATTTTCCAGAATAAATAAATAAATAAATATTCCAGAATTAACAAAAGCAGATGACATTGCACTCGACCATTTCCGAAGAAAAAAAAATATTAAAAAAAGACAGAACTACGTTTCTAAAAGCATTATAATATACAACAGCACTTTCCAGGAGACAAGACAACAGAACACAAGTGTCTGAAGTCCAGGCTTATCAGAGTTACATCTCCAGGCGCCCCCACGCCAGAAGCTCTTCTCAGTCGAGCAAAACTCTCCTCGAACGCAATCACAAATACCACCAGTGGGAAGCCACCTGCTGGTCCAAGCTTGCACCCACTTGCTAATCCCACCTGTCACCCACCTGCTGATCCCATCTGTCACCCACCTTGCTGATCCCATCTGTCACCCACCTTGCGACACCCGCAGTAACCTCGCGTCCCATCGGGAAGCCAAAGAACGAGGCCACGTCATCTCCCGAACATCTCCTCTGAGATCGCGTTACAACTTTCTGTAATAGGAAATATGAGACGCAACAATACTTGGACGACCACTTGCGTCCCGATGCCCCGAGAGGACGCCTGCTGCCAGGGTGAGCTCGTCTCACTCTCGTATTGCCTTATATACGACATCTGGGTGATTCTGCAGTTAGGGCCCCCCCCCCCCCTGTTCTGTCTCCCTCGTCCAATTCTTGGCTCCCATTTCTCGTGGTTGATGTTCGGGTACTGCTGTTACTCTTGAGTGCATTTGTATCTTCTTGTGCTTCCTGTCGTTGATGATCTTTGTGCACTCAAGACACACAATTAAAAATTGCCCATTTTATTTTTATTTTATTTTCCTACACGTGTTAATATTGTTTAATGAAATCTCTGCTCATTTGCTCATTTATTTTCTCAATGACAAAAATTTCATACAATATATTTGAATAGTCGAGTACAATAATATATTTCTCATTCATAACATGCAAGCTTATTGTATATTTAATAAATTATTGAATTAAGTCAATAATATATACATTAATATACATACAAGGTTCTGTACGTGGAACCCACTTTCTACGATTTATGAGTTAACAGCAACGAACAAAATAGCCAGTAAGAACATAAGAACAAGGGAAATGCAGAAGGCCTATTGGCCCACATGAGGCAGCTCCGAAGTCGTGAGTGTGGCCGGATATCCCAGAGTATCCGGCCTGGTGAGTGTTGGATCTCCAGGAGTATCCGGCCTGGTACTATCAGTCAGCGAGCGGCCATCAAGCCCCTGCACAGCAATATTGTCTTCCTCCTACACTATGTTAATTAATCTTGGGGACAAGCGCGCAAACACCAAGTCTAATCAACCTCACACACGCCGGGGGAAACTAGCACAGAAATACATGCATGTTTGCTCGCGCCAACACACACACACACACACACACACAAGCACAAGTACACATTCACACATATACAAAGAGACTCGTTCCGGAGCCGAGGGGATTGAGCTATGATAAAAAACAAAGCAATGGACCTAACCACACTGGAGAAAAGGAGAGATAAGTAGGAGCGAGGGGGACATGATTACAACATCTAAGATTCTGAGGGAAATTGACACAGTAGACACAACAGCGTTGTTCAAAGCTATGAACAGGCGAACGAGGAGTCATAGATGGAAATTGGAGATACAAATGAGCCATAGAGACATCAGGAAGAGTGGTGAAGGTGCTTGAAGAGAGAAGGAAAAAGAGGATGTTTGAAGAGAATGGGGAGACAGGTGGAGAGGGGAGGAGGGAAAGGATATAGAAATTGGGGGAAAGGGCTGAAAAGAGGAGAGTTGTAATAGGTTTGATAGAAGGAGAAGGGAGGGGGGAGGGAGAGTGGGGAGAGTGGGGGTGTGAAGAGGGGAGAAGAGGGGAGAAGAGGGGAGGAGAGATTATGAGATGGATGATG